AACCACTGGAAACAATGGAACCACCGGAACCAGTGGAACCACTGGAACCAGTGGAAACACCGGAACCAGTGGAACCACTGGAACCAATGGAACCACTGGAAACAATGGAACCACCGGAACCAGTGGAACCACCGGAACCAGTGGAACCACCGGAACCAGTGGAACCACCGGAACCAGTGGAACCACTGGAACCACCGGAACCAGTGGAACCACCGGAACCAGTGGAACCACTGGATCCACCGGAACCAGTGGAACCACCAGAACCAGTGGAACCACCGGAACCACCGGAACCACTGGAACCACTGGAACCAGTGGAACCAGTGAAACCACCGGAACCAGTGGAACCACCGGAACCACCGGAACCAGTGAAACCACCGGAACCAGTGAAACCATCGGAACCAGTGGAAGCAGTGGAACCACCGGAACCAGTGGAACCACTAGAACCAGTGGAACCACCGGAACCACTGGATCCACCGGAACCAGTGGAACCACCGGAACCAGTGGAACCACCGGAACCACTGGAACCAGTGGAACCAGTGAAACCACCGGAACCACTGGAACCACTGGAACCACCGGAACCAGTGAAACCACCGGAACCAGTGAAACCACCGGAACCAGTGGAACCACCGGAACCAGTGGAACCAGTGAAACCACCGGAACCAGTGGAACCATCGGAACCAGTGGAACCAGTGAAACCACCGGAACCAGTGAAACCACCGGAACCACTAGAACCAGTGGAACCACCGGAACCACTGGATCCACCGGAACCAGTGGAACCACCGGAACCACTGGAACCACCGGAACCAGTGAAACCACCGGAACCAGTGAAACCACCGGAACCAGTGGAACCACCGGAACCAGTGGAACCAGTGAAACCACCGGAACCAGTGGAACCAGTGGAACCATCGGAACCAGTGGAACCAGTGGAACCAGTGAAACCACCGGAACCAGTGAAACCACCGGAACCACTGGAACCACCGGAACCAGTGGAACCAGTGGAACCAGTGAAACCAGTGGAACCATCGGAACCAGTGGAACCACCGGAACCATGACTCTTTACATCAGTAACGATGGAGAAGGGACAGGAAGTAACGACATTTTGTGCAGCCTAGTACATGCAAAGGATAGACCATGTTTTTATTAAAGTATTGATGATGCTGTTGATGAAAATGTTTCAGACTGCAGCAGGATTCATTCAGACTGCAGCAGGATTCATTCAGACTGCAGCAGGATTCATTCAGACTGCAGCAGGATTCATTCAGACTGCAGCAGGATTCATTCAGACTGCAGCAGGATTCATTCAGACTGCAGCAGGATTCATTCAGACTGCAGCAGGATTCATTCAGACTGCAGCAGGATTCATTTAGACTGCAGCAGGATTCATTCAGACTGCAGCAGGATTCATTCAGACTGCAGCAGTGAGTGAAAACAATATCTGAAAATCTCAATTTGAACCTGATGACAGGCAGAACTCTGCAGCTATAAGGCTAATGTTATCTCACTTCACAAACAGGAAACTATAGATGTACAGTTTGTTATAATAGAGCTGAATGATGCTGAGCTTGATCGATTTTCCCACATCAACTTCTGGAAAGTGAGACGACAAATGAAGGAAAAATCCTAGAAACAACGAACAAAGGCCTCTCACCTCTAACTGCCACCGATCCACCGTGACCAGGGCCAATCTTCTCCAATTCCTTCTGCATTCAGAGACTCATTTCCCTCCAAATTAAATCACCACCTCTTCCCACACACACACACACACACACACACACACACACACCACACACACACACACACACACACACACACACACACACACACACACAGAAGCGGCTAATTTTCACCTTCAGAAAGAATTTTCCACGAGCCATAACGAAGGTAATAAAGCATCGTGATTTGCTAACAGGCAGCTGATGAGCCGTGTGAGGAAAACGTTCCCTGGTCTGACGGCCCACTTAGCTTCGCGCTCGCTTCCTGTCAGGACGGTGGCGTACTCTGGGAATCCAGCGGGTCAATTTCCTCGGCTCTTACAAAATAATGACATGCAGTCGGATACAAACGTCGTCTCTTATTTTAATACATTTTCCTTAAAGTTGTGAACTCAGTCAGTGGCCTGGAGGAATAGTTAGTGTGGCATTGTCTTTGGACATGGTCTCATTCATCCAGTCATTTCTAGGGTTAGAAAAGGTTCATTTTTCAAATATTGGAATACTGCACCCTAATTTCTTATAAGGGTGCAGAACTTTTTACCTTTTATTTTATAATTCTGCAGTTTTGAGGATTTGCTGCTCTAAAAATGCTGTGTTTAGAGCAGCAAATCATCCACCTTCATCCATTCATCTTCATTCATTCATCTTCATCCATTCATCTTCATCCATTCACCTCCATCTGCTGTATCCAGTGTTTAAAAGCAAAGTCTCTGTCTGAGCAGCAGTCGTGTTTCAGCCTGTTTCTCCTCCCATCTGCTGGCTTTAATGACTCGTTGCATTAAATGTGTTGCATTTACTGTTGACTCGTAAAAATTAAAACCACGTTGCTTCAGAGACATTAACTTTGATAACACGGCTAAGGAAACGATGTTCATTTAAAGCGATGGATATTTTTATGACATTTTGCAGTAAAGTGTGAACCCTGGCTGTCGGTCAGCTTCAGTGAACCTGCCGCTGAAACTCCTGCTGTACATGTAGAAAATAAATGGCACGAAATGAGAATGCTTTAAGAAACCCACAGGTTTTGGTTCATTTTTTAAACGTGTGTATGATAGAAACAGTATAAAGGTCATGTCACTGTGACTGTAAGGACCTGCAGCTCTGGTGATCAGTGATCCTTTTGTTCCAGGTCTCATAAAAATCAGTTGCATTCAGTAAAAGGCCAAATGGTAAAAAGTTTTCTCAGTGTTCTGGTTGTTTTGAGTTTGTAACGGTGACTCCTCATCCGGAGCAGGTCCAGTAGAAACCCGGCGCTGCCTCCCTCCTCCCTCAGCGTTTCACAGCAGGACGTTATTGTAAAATAAACATGAAAAGAAGAAAGTCAATGTTGGGCGTAGTTTTGTTCCTCCTTCGCCTCGTCGGCTCCCTGCTGAAGGATCCTCTGTTGGCCTTCGTCTCAAATTAATGCATTCAGTATTTGTAGTCGGTCTCCTGCTTCACCTGAGGGATGCAGCAGCTTAGCAGAGCGCAGAGAAAACACCCAAAAACCCTTCAACAAACAAGCAGCTATTAACCCACACAGGCAACTTTGCCCTGTTCAGTCAGGAAACCTGCTTCCCTTTCATTTTAATTTCTGTTTTCCTCCAGAAATGTTGGGTTCAAGGCCACAGCGAGCCGTGATGTGTAAACAGCATCCTTCCTAATCTATTGAATCTGTGAATCGTATTTATCCGACGCTGCCGCCCCACTGCCATCATTCATCGCCTCTTTGGAGAAACGAGCCACACGGTTTGCTGTCGTTCAACAATACACAAGCTGTTCCTCCAGGCTGCTCTCATTGGTACATGATGTTGGCTTATTGTGTTGTGATTTCATTAGCAGTTTGACACAAAACAACCAGAAATGCAAACATTCACATGTTGAGGTGTTTATTGTCACCAGGTTGACAGTAAAGTTTTAAAATCCAGAGCGAGGAACAGAACCGAGTGGGCAACATTTTTATGAAATTTGTTTTTACCCAATAAACACCAAATTAAACTAATAGTGTCAAAAAACAAAATGCCAGGTCCACATTTTATCAAACTTAATTCATAAAACCTTCATTTGTTCCATGAGGAAGTGGAACCTTGTCACATCTTTACAGTCGTCATGAAGGGTCAGCTCCAGTAGCAGCCGGTCTTACAGTGTAAAGTAAAACCGTTTTCTTGTTGAACCTTTGCAGCGCCGCACCGCGGCGAGAGGCAGCATCTCAACCAAGCTGTTGAGTTTAAAGACCTTTCAGTTTAAGCTATAAAAGCAAGAATAGTTGTTGTTCAGAGACAAAGAATCTGATTTTCTTTCCACTTTGCCTTTTCTAGACTAATGATTGATAAACCAAATGAGCTGCTAACGGCTCGTTTGGGTTTTTCCTGCAGCTTTCAGAGCTTTGTCCTGCCGCGCTGTGAAAGTCGCGTCTGAATGAAATGTATTTATATTATTTCTAGTGTAGCTCAGATTGTATTTACCCAACAGAGAATCAGTTTATTTCTGAAATGTCATTCAGAGTAGACCAGAGGGGAGTTTCTAAAGGTATTTATTTATTTTTACTATTGTTTGAATCGGCATGCTGCCACTTAACTTTCCCCCTGTGACAACTGGATGTCCCACTGAGGGACAATAATGGACAGTTTTATCCTGCTCTGAACCCTGAACTGAGTGGTGAGACATTTCCTGCCAGGCTCAGGAGGGTTTCCATCTCTGTCTTCAGGCTGCAGCGCTCATCATGAACCTTCGCTCTGAATCATCAGCTGACTTTGTTTCAGTGGAGTTTGATAAGGACTGAGAACGGCTGGAGCAAAACGACAGGCTGAGGGTCCCGACACCATCCTGCTGGGTCATCAGCTGTTCTGCTGCCAAAGGCTCAGATTTCTATGAAACTAACAAGCAGCTGCTGCAGCTGAGGCCGCAGGTCAACCGGGTCAACCGGGTCAACCCAGCACAGCTTAGTGGTTTCTCTCTAAGCCGACACCAGGAAACCAGAAGTTACTTCCCTGGATATTTAGTTTAATGTTTGACCTTTTAATAAACGCTGTCTGATTTATAGAGATTTCTAATCTGGTTATTATTTCCGGCTGGCAGCACAGACAGAACAAATGCAGCTGTGTTTGATGTTCCTGTCAGTATTTACTCCATCAGACGGCCGTCATTGACTCGGGAAGCCGACCTGAAGGTCGCGCTCTGTATAGACGGTCAGACTCTTATCGGCGGCCCAGTGGGAAGACTTTGCTGGGATGTGCTGAGGAACATGAATAGTTCCAGTAAAAACATGTTTCACTGCTTTAAAAGCTGTTCATGTTTTCGTCCTCGCAGCTGGAGGTTTCCACCACAGACTTCTCTGGGAACGTCATGGAGGGACCCGTCATACTCGTCGTCACCGTCATCGACCAGAACGACAACCGGCCCATCTTCAAGGAGTCCCGCTACACAGGACAGGTGCTGGAGGGATCGCCCACAGGTTGGTCCCTCACTCTGGGGTTTTACTGGTTTTACTGGGCAGCCATGTTTCATTCACGTCTGCAGGACCGAGGAAGAGGATTTCCTCTGAATCCTCACTTCAGTCTTTCCCTTTAACCAACATCTAAATCTCCATTCTTCCTCATTTCTGCTCCTGGAGTTTCAGCCAATCAGCACCAGGGAAAATAAACAGTGCACATGGATTGGCTGTTTGGAAACACCAACCAATAATGTGTCAAGTTGTATTTTTCTGAGTTAATCCAACTCCGGTCCGCTTTAATCCAAATCCGGTCCGCTTTAATCCAAATCCGGTCCGCTTTAATCCAAATCCAGTCTGTCTGCTTAGAGAATCTGGTTCGGTTGGTGAGATTTGAACGCTAATCGACCTCTGACCTCTGGTCCTCCAAACCTCAATCTGGTTCTGTTTGAATGTGAACACCAAGCGGACCAGAGAACGCTCCACAAGCAGGAAGTGGACTACAGCACAGGGCATTCTGGGTAAATCCAACCAAAGCTAACATGCTAGCCTAGCGCTAGCAGCAGAAATGGCTCCTGGTCTTCAGCCAAAGACTAAATAGAAATCCTCCATCACTAAACTCTGACGCCTCCATCTTGTTTCATCTGGTGAAACAGGAAGTTGCTCTCAGTGTCTTCAGAGGCTTTAGTGTCGTTTCCTGCAGTGGTTGGTGGTGCAGCGCCCCCACAGGCCAGGAGGGGAACAGGCTGGTTGGACTCAGAGCCACAGCAGCTGCAGGTGGAGCAGATGATGGAGATTTTGTCAGAGGTCTTGTTGCCTTTATTAACCTGTTTTAGTTGTTTTTCTGAACTGCTTTAGCTTTAGATTTTCTCTTAACCTTTTTCTGCTTTTAAATGTAAAATAAATCAGTGAGCCTGGAGCCTCTGGCTGTGTTTGAATGATTGTGTGTGTTCTTTAAAGCTGTGAAAATGATAATTTGGTTCCTTTCTTTGCTGAGCATGGATGATTTATCCAGCTCACAGTGCTTCCCGTGTTTAACACGATGGCATGTGGGGGAGTTTCTGCTCATGCGACTCGACTCCGTTGCAGAGCCAGGGATGTTTGGCTGCTGAATGATATCCTATTCATGCTCAAGTCTTTATGTTTCATTTGACTTGACATGAAAATTGGTCTCTTTAGAGCAGATTTTTTCCCTCCTGATCGACTCCAAAGCGCGGAGTGAGATAAATCACCTTTAGAGGTGATTTATCTCGCCACCTGCTGAAAACTATTCTTCTTGTTCATTCTGTGCTTCCAACTGTCATAGTTACACTACATGCAGCTGAGGATTAAATTAGAAGAAATCATTTGCTTTCGCTGCCAGCACCTATTGTTCACCTAGAAAACAATTATCTTGATTCACTTCAAAAATGCCCTTTTGGTTGGTTTTCAATTTGCTGCTCATATAATTTCTGTAGATCCTTCCCCTGTAACATAAAGAGGTAAAATAAAGACCACTGGTTTTATAATACTACTTCCTGTTTTTTTTCTGAACATTTTCACCACAAAAAACATTTATTAACGTTAATAATCAGCAGAGCTGCACAAAACACATTTTAGCTCGGAGCTAGTAGCGTCATAAATTCACATTAAACTTCTATCATAAAACATTAAACTGGAGATGAAGATCAGCTCAAAGTGGAAGACAAATAAAACTTCATTCAGTCAGAATGCAGCATGTTGCTCCCAGCAAGTTTATCCTATAAAATTCATGTTTTCCTGACATTCTGATGAGTTTTCTGTAGTTTAAATCACAGCTGATTTTATAATACTATGACATCATGAAGAATAACCATTTGTTCCATTTATTTAGAGTAATCTGTAAATATTAGCCTTTTTTTAATGTTGTATTATTATTGTGTCATTCAGAGTCAATCTGCTCTGATGGAATAAAATAAGCGTTAAAACGCCGTTAACATGTAAATCATCGCCTCACGTTGGACTGAATGTTGTTTTTAAACCCTTGTGAATGTAGGTCACATTTTTAGATGTTTATGTGCATTAAATGAGTATTTATTGTTTGAGTCCATAACAGTCTGTTCTATTCAGCAGGAAGTTTTAGTGATGAATATTTTTCATAAGGTTCTGATCCAGTCTCTGGTTCTGCCAATGTCATCTATGTTTCTCTTTTTTTGTTGTGTTTTATGCTTCATTAATTAGTTTATTTTGAGTGAAACTCTTCTGGATCTTGAATGTTTGAACTTTGGATTTGTTAAGTTGACAGGAACTTTTCTGAAATGTTTCCTGTGTAAAAACGTCTAAATATCTGAACTATTTCTGGGCTTAGCGGAGGTGAGCCGATCGATCAACCACCAACCATCATCGGCCGATTTCTGTGAGAAAGCGTCTGATCGGTGATCGATCAGCGTCTCTGCTTGCCGATCACCTGTATCTCCCTGCTGCAGCCGGTCTCCTGTTTCCTTCTCGCTGCGCAGCTTCAGATCCTGTAGTGAGGAACTTTGACGCTCAGAGTGAATGGGGACGTTTGCGTGTTGCGGTTGAAATGACCTGTTGGGTGAAGCACGTCACAATGCATCAATACAACAAATCTGACATTTAAAAATCAAGAAGTTGATTGATTTGGCTACATGGAGGCTCAACGCAGGAACAAAAGACATCCGGACCCAGACAGCAGGTAGAGCAGCACAGCTGATCGCAGCACAGCTGATCGCAGCGCAGCGATCAGCATCACGGTCAGGAACAAAACAAATGACCCAACAATAAGTCAGGTGTGGAGCTGCGGAGTGAGTCGCTGGTTCTGTTGGACCGCCGCTACTGGTGGGAATATGTCACAGACGGAGCTGCTGAGACCTGCAGCAGGAACTGAAACAGGTTCTAGATACGTAGTGAAATAGGTGTATTTATTGCCAGATCGTTCTTCCAGTTTGCCAGATCACATAGAATCATTAATACCTAAAGTGAAAAACTAACAGCCAATCCAGGCGATCGGCAGAGATCGGCTTTATGGATGATCGGTATCGAATCAGCAGCACGAAACCTGATCACTAGTTCTTAGTTTTTAATACATATATGCATGTGTGTCTGTTGTTTCAGGGGCATTTTAAAAGAAAATTGATTTCATTGATAAATGTGAAAAGTCACTACCATCTGTGAGCAATTAGTCTGTAATTCACTGTAACAGACAGAATGAAGAAATTCATCTAAATATGAATTACTTCAGATTTAGATCATTTCCGATTTTAATTTCTAAAAGTCAGAAATTACAAACGTGGTCATAAAAATCTGTTATTTATTTGACCTTCTGAACTCCTGGATGATGTCATCGCTGCAGATTTTTGATCTTTGTGGAAAATGAACCTCTGCAGATTCAGCTCCAGTGAGTGAAAACTCATTTAAAATGTTGGACTGAATCTGATACCATCTGTCAGAAACCTCATTTTAAACTCAAACGAGGTTTTAAATGAAGTTACAAGACAGAGAAGAGCTTAAATCCTGACCAAAACATCTGGAAATGATCACCTTTGGTCTTTTGACTCAGTTGAAAACAATCCTCAGAATATTTTCTTGGTAAAACTTGACTTTAGAAACAACTTTCAGTCATTTCCTGTTTCCCTGCGGTCTTGCACAGTTGCTTTTCTTAATGGTTCTTTCTCTTGCTGAAAACTTGGATTGAATAAAACCTGAGAGTAAATAAATAAAGCTCCTTGTTATGCATTGCGTGGTGCTGGTGTGTGTTATCTGCAGCAGCGCGGTGTGTGTTACAGCGTGCTGAGTGCGGCTGGGCAGCAGGGGAAGCTGTAGGGAGGAATGTCACAGCGCTCTGACATTTCTGTGCAAACTGATAAGGAAGACAGCCGAGAGCCGCCGACTGCTGGCAGTCCCTCCTGGTTCCTCCTCCACTCTTTGTTTGGCTTCTTCTCCTCCATTCTGCCTTCAACGCTGCTCTCCTCACACTCTTCATATTTAATCTGTTGTTATTTCATCCTTTTGACTTTATTATTGACATTTTGGCAGGATCATTGGAGACTTTATTCAACTTGTTCTCACACTTCAAAACGTTGAGAATGTTTTTATATTAGATTAATGGGATATTCATGTTAAATAATAAAGGTTGGGAAAGTTTAGCTTTCTAACTACAGACCCACACAGTCGGATTTACAGAAGATCTGCACAACAAGCCAAGAACAAACGCTGTGATGTTCCAGAGTCACTTTAAGCTCTTCATCACTGCAATCTGGGTCCAGAATCTGGGTCCAGAAACTGGGTCCAGATGGAGCTTTTCTGTTCTCATTATAAGGAGTTTGTACAATAATTAGAAACTCTGCCCTCTAATATCCAGTAAAAGTGACTAGATGAAAGATAAACATGCAGGAAGTGCAGCATCCTCTCCAGAACAGGAAAAGATGCTGATTTTCCTCTTTTTCATTTTATTTTGTTAGAAACTGTGAAACTTTCAACCCAGAAAAGGAATTAGAACAAACTGGGAATCCAGTTTCTAAACTAAATGTTCTTCCAGGAACATTTAGTTTTTATTCTTACTTAGAAACTGTGGAGAACTCATTACTTTTATAGCAAACTTAGAAAGAGCAGCGAATTCTCACTCTCACTGATCAACCAACGCTGAATATGGAGTTTACACACTGACTAATTGTGACTCAGTGTAGAGTCTGTGTGCTCTCTTAGCAGTAGAATAGTACATTTTAAATGGTTTTAATATTTAACTGAATGACATGAGTATAGTATGACTTGATTTCATTTTACAGATCTTGTTTGTTCGTTGTGCATGCAGTTTTGTGGCGACTGTGGTGTGTGTTGTGTTGTGTGTTTCTTGTGCCATTGCCAAAGATAAATTTCCATGTTATGTAAGTTTAATGGACAATAAAGGAGTCTAAAGTCTAACAGTAGATTCTGTTTCTTCTTTTGCTCGTTCTTGTGGTTTGTTGTTTTGTTTGCATTTCCTGTCAAGCACTTTGTGTTGCCTGGTTGCTGAAACTGTGCTGTAGAAATAAAATGACCTTTTTAGA